GCTACAAATCGAATACAAAAACCGGAAATGGGAAATATGAGCATTTCCGTAAGACCATTTCAACGGATATACGTGGATCTTTTAGGTCCATATCCTAGAAGCAAAAAAAGGATTCATTGGGTTGTTGATCGTCCTTGATCACTTCTCTAAGTACCACTGGCTTTGTCCCATTAGGAAATTTACTTCATCTGTTATCACAGAATTTATAGAAAAACATATTTTTCATCATTACGGAGTTCCTGAGATGCTAATAAGCGATAATGGTAGCCAATTTCGCAGTAATGAATTTAACGCGTTTCTTACGACTTATGGAGTTCATCATATTTACACCGCGTTATACTCACCCCAAAGCAACGCTTCGGAAAGGGTTAATAGATCGATCATTGCCGCAATAAGATCGTATCTTAAAAAAGATCATCGTGAATGGGATGAAAACATATCCTCAATTAGTTGTGCACTTCGTAATGCCATTCACAACTCCATTGGTTTCTCTCCTTATCATGCATTATACGGTTTCGATATGATAACGCATGCTTCGTCGTATAAACTACTTAAAGATATTCAATCGTTAGGAGAATCTGATGTTAATATACTACGTGATGATAGGTTAGCTTTGTTACGCGATTCTATTTCAAAGAACATGAAAAAAGCTTACGATATTAATGTGAAACAGTACAATTTAAGAGCCAGGTCAGTGGGTTATAATGTAGGACAGGAAGTATTCCGAAGGAATTTTGCTCAGAGCAGCGCGGAGAAAAATTTTAATGCCAAACTAAGTCCTCTTTATATACGAGCTAGAGTAAAAGAAAAGCTAGGAAACTGTTATTATGTATTAGAAGATATAGAGTCTAAGAATTCAGGTACATATCACGCCAAGGATATCAAAATTTGAGTATTAGTTATAATAAAATATATTCTATATTTTATGATTATCTTTGGTTAATTTAGTTTATTTTCATTTTTTATTACAGAATATTGTTGAAATTTGCAAATAATTAATTATGGGATCGAACAGAACACCAGTTTGTCTCATTTGTAACACAGAAATGGTAGCAAGTCGTTTATACTTAACAATTAGTGATTGCCAACATAAATATCATTTAGATTGTGCAGATATGTATTTCAAGTTACATGGGGAATGTCCCCGCTGCAACCGATCCAATTTTGTCCAAAGAAAAATGCATGCAATGCTTCGTTTTCTGGATAGACGACAACAAATTCAAAGTGAACTTTTACAAATATCGCAATAATGAAACCGCGATTGTTTTTCCGCCTAATTTAGTGCGAAAAATCTTTAAATTATCCGGTTTTGTAATGTGCAATCCGGTTGAAACAAACATTTATACACCATACAACTTTTACATTTTCTAAAACTATAATTTTTACACATTTTTTTTTCTTGTTACACATTTGCATTGTTACATATTTTCATATTTCAAAAATTTTATTGTTGTTATTTTACAAATTTATATTATTACAATCTTGTTAAAACCTTTTTTGTTAAATATCTCAATAAACAAATTCCATATCAGCAAGTTATGCATTGTTTATGTTATTATTTAAAACGATCGTAAATTTTAGCGGTAATGCCAAGTTCAATATCACGTATCGGTTTACGGCGAATTGAAATGTCATTAGTTAAATTAGTCACTAGAGGGCTTATAGCCTGGAAAGAAATGTCATATTGGGCTAAGATAAATTTTCATTAAGGTGAGGTAGTACCTAGCCAGGAAACCATCATCCTTTTCCGTTTTATCTGGCCTACCATCAACACCTAAACTCTAAAGATTGAGTTAATACTACTGGTAAATATAGTTAAAGAAAGTGTTAATTTTTGAGAAGACAGGATCCGCTAGTTGAATGGTAAAGTTCCTTTCCTTTGCCAAGTAAATCTTTATACTTACGCCTTTATCCTTTATAGAAATCTTAACGATTTAATTATAAAGGAATAGTAAACTTTTTAAGTGGATTCCATCCTCATAATTGTTCCGTAAATCCATCAATCACACTTGGCAATCAAGGAAGATAAGGTAATTTTAACCAAATCCTCTTTCTTATCCAGAATCTGGATACTTATATTTGAAATATTTTTCCAAAACCATTTACAGGTCTTTTACTCCTTGGAGAGTTAAAATTACTTCGTTAATTTGTCATTTATTTTTGACATAAAATCCATCGAATCTTTATTCTTTTGATTCTGTTTGGTTGATGTCAAAAAAAAAAGAAGAATAAGAATAATAGGACAGGAGAACGAAAGGAGAGGAAAAGATTTGTCAATATTTGATCCCACTAAAATTCCCATAAGAAGAAGCATCGTCAAAATTCAAATACCAACCTAGATCAAAGTAGAATCAAAGATAAAAGAACAAAGATCAAAGTGATTGAAGAATTTGAAAGAAAAAAAAAGATTTTAAGAAACTTATGTGTGAAAACTAGAAAAAGATAGTGAAACGTGAAATTTAAAGTAATTATTAAGTAAAATTTGCATTTAATTAAATTAAAAGTAGAAGAAAAGAAAAAGATTAAAAGAATTAAGTCAAAAAAGGGTATATTTAAATTATTTATATTGTGTAATTTTCTAAATCGTGGCAATTTGCACAGTGTTCCTTAAAAGAAAAAATCATAAAAGAAAAAAAAAAAATCTTCAGTAAAAAAAAAACATAAAGATAAAAAAAAAAATAATTAAGAATAGAAATCAAATTAACAAAATCATTGGAGAAAAAAAACAAGTTAATTGTTAAATAGTGACCAAATCGGTTCGGTGTTTTTAAAATTAAAAGTGCACAGTAGTTTGACGAAGTTTGGTTGCAAACTATTGTAAAACAAGTAACCAAAGAACCTGAAATTTAGGCACAAAAAAAATATATAAAACTTCATTAAAAGAAACAAAAAAAAAAAAAAATCTAGAAAAACAATATTTTGCAAATTAAAATTTCATCAACCCACTGTGCATAAATTTTTATATTTTTTATATGTTGTATATTTTTTTTTGTATTTTTTTGCTTTTTCCTTTGGTATTTTTTGATCTTGTAAGAAAAAAAAAAAGGTTATTAAAAATTTGTGAAAAAAAAGAGAAAAAGATATCAAAAGAACCAAAAGAAAAATATAAAAAAATAAAATAAAGAAGAAGAATATGTAAAAGTCAAGTAAAACCGATAAAAAAAAAAACAAATTAAAGAAAGTTAATCATATAAATACAAGAAATTACGAATAAAAACAAAATTTACAACATCCCCAGCTCTACACCTCTCTCGCCTGCAGCACCAACGAAGATCTTCAGCGGCCTGCATGTAAGTAATTGATTTATTTCTGTATATTACTTTGTTCTTTTATTTTTTTTTGAACAAACTAAGAACATAAAAATATCTTAAGAAAATGTTAAATAATTAAAATCAATAATGCAAAATTAGTATTCATACATTTTTTGTTTAAACAATTAAAAGAAAACTGTATAAATACATTTAAAAATGTGTCAATCAAAATATAAAAGAATATGTTCTTATTTTGGCCAAAATTATTTCTAAATTTTATATGATTTTTAATATCATTATTATGCGTATATCGAGACCTCGGTGTTAATTTAAACAAAGATTAAAGAAAACAAACAAAAGATAATAAAAAAAAAACTCACTCAATCTCTCTCATTCGCAGAGAAGAGATCAATATTAAAAGAAAGCTTTCGATAAAGCTTTAATGAATCGGTAAAAGCAATAATTATGTATAATAATTAACTCTCCTCGATTTGTTATTTGATTTTTCACCCTACTGCTCCGTTGTTAAATATTTAAATTTGTTATCGCGTTTGTTATTTACATTTTTAAACTGTGCAAGTTGAAACTAATTTATAAAAATCAATTTTTGTTGCAAATTTTATTAGATTTAAGTGCATGTTATTATCAATTTAGTTTTTTAATTCGAAAATGTTAATATTTAACATTTGTTTACTTCTGGTAACAGAATGAATTAGGAAAATTAGTTTTATTAAAGAAAAATTATTTAATTTAGTTTGAAATTGAAATTCAAACATAAAAAAATAGTTTTTTTAAAGATTTTAAAATCAAATCGTTAGAATAATGATTAAAACCTGAATTTATAAACAATAAACATTATTAACAATGTGTGAATAAAATAATTTTTGACTTTTTCCTTTCGGTTGAGAAGAAAAAAAACATATTAGGGTCCTTTTATTAATATTATAGGTTGGATAAAGGACAAAGGTTGAGGTGGGTTACGAACTTAACGGGAATATCATCATCCCTATTATAAAACCACTTTAAAAACTCCTCCACTTAGTAGATTTCAACACTTCCGTTTTATTTAGATTATTTTTTTTTTTAACATTGTTTTTGGGGATTCAATAGATTAGTATACCAATCCATATCCATATTGTTAGCAACCACTTTACCAGGGACTCTGTAATAAATTAAGGCGACAGGTACATTGAACGAGTAGGGTCAAGAACCTCCCCACCCACTGAAGCTAGCGGAATAGACGGGTCCCGCCGACCCTCACTTGTGCAAATGTAAGTTGTGACATTTTAAAGATATTGTCGAGTTTAACAAACTTGGACTCTGTACTTTTTATTCAAGCCAGTCGACCAATACACTGATTACTATTAAGTTTTGTTGACATTAACAAAAACCAAAGAATAAAATTAAATTGTCTACTTGTGGCGCATGTGGCGTATGATTAATATAAATAAGATTGTATCGAATGAAAGAAAATTACTAATACGTTAGTTAGGTTTAATAGCAAACAATAGAATATTTAATATTGTATACATACATACATACATATTTAAATAAACTATTAAATAAAGAGATTTAAATTGGTTTTAACTACAGATGTTAAAAGCTTTGTTTATTATTTGCTTATTATTAAGGTAAATTTAATTTGTTTGTCTGTATTAGCTGAGATTGAGTATAGATAATTGTAGTTCAAGTAGATTTAAGTTTAATAAGGTTTTATGTTTTCATCTATGTTTTTTTCTTTTCTTACAGACTTCGGAAAAAATAAAAAGCTGTGGTACCATGAAACGTGTAGAACCTCATCAAAATTTTGAAGAAACAATACAAAGGGTAAATATGAATTCAAATTTGTGGAAATGTTTTTAAAGTTTCCTAGTACTTGCCTATATCCCTCCACTTTTAAAGTATCTTAAAAATGGACCCGGGGGAATGGAAGTTTCCTATTTATGAGAAATGTTTTAGTTTGTGCCTACTCAACCAATCTAAACAATTGATTGATATGATAGTGGGAATATAAGAATCCTTTTACTTATTTCTTTTACATATATATTTATACCCTACACCACTTTAGTGGGGAGGGTATATTGGATTTGTGCTGATGTTTGTAACGCACAATAATATTGGTCCTTTACCCACCTTAAAGTATACCAATCGGCTTAGAATCATTTTCTGAGTCGATTTAGCTATGTCCGTCCGTCTGTCCGTCCGTCCGTCTGTCCGTCCATGTAAACCTTGTAATCAAACTACAGGTCGCAATTTTGAAGATAATTCAATGAAATTTGGCACATGATCTTCTATTGTCCCAGGGACGAAGCCTATTGAAAATGGTTAATATCGGTCAATTATTTCACCTAGCCGCCATACAACTGAGCCCCCGAATAGGGCTTGTAAACCTTTAAATCAAACTACGGGTCGCAATTTTGAAGATAATTCAATGAAATTTGGCGCATGATCTTGTGATCTTGTCCCAGAGACGAAGCCTATTGAAAATGGTTAACATCGGTCCATTTTCTCATCTACCCCCCATACAACTGAACCCCCGAATAGGGCTTGTAAATCTTTTAATCAAACTACAGGTCGCAATTTTGAAGATAATCACATGATCTTCTATTGTCCCAGAGACGAAGCTTATTGAAAATGATTAACATCGGTCCATTTTCTCATCTAGCCCCCATACAACTGAACCCCCGAATAGGCCTTGTAAACCTTTTAATCAAACTACAGGTCGCAAATTTAAAGATAATTCAGTGAAATTTGGCAGATGTTCTTCTATGGTACTGGAGACGAAGCTTATTGAAAATGGTTAACATCGGTCCATTATTTCACCTAAACCCCATACAACTGAACCCGACGAATAGGGATTTATAATTAGTTTATAATTATGTTTAATATACTCGTATCTCGACAAAAAGCTGCAAAACCAAGTTCTATACTAGCCTTAATGACTCGCATGAATTTTATAATTATAGGGTCTCATTTGACCATAGCCCCTATACAAATCCCCCTTCAAAATTTGACTTAAATGTCCACAATTTTATTCAACAATAAATGGCTTAAGTATAATTCAAGGCAAGGTGCAATTCAACTTAAATGCTTTATTATGAAAACTAAATCACATTTTATTTTTGTAACAGGTGTAGGGTATTATATGGTCGGTCTCGCCCGACTATAATTTCTTACTTGTTTTTTTCTTAAATATATTCGGTGTTTCATTTCATAACCCTTTTTAATCTTCTAATAATAGTTTTGTTGTTCTACATTTTTATGTAAATTTTTCTTTTCTTGTTGACATTTTACAGTTAAAAAATCAAAAGGCCAGAAAAAAGATACAACATGATAAAGGCATACATGACCGCAACAAGGATATTACATCACATGCAATGACAACAAATGACATGTCTTTAAATAACTATACAAAACATCCATAGCAACAGCAGCAACAACAACAACTACAACAGGCAAATTAAACAAGACAAAAACTACAAAAACTTTAATAATAATGCACCCATACTATCACTAACACGCACTTGCAACATTCGAATGGTTACAAACGGATATGAAAAACTTTAAGAGCAGCAATATTTGCCACAATTTTAAAGAACTTGACTAAATGTTTATTGGTGGAAAGTGGGTGGTTGTATATAGAAGTAAATGGGTGCCGTTATTGTGTATTCATCATTACGACTGCAGACTCTCCAACTCGTCAGCATTGATGCAACATTATACATACAATATTAAAGTGTTTTCCAGTTTTTATTATTTTGTTTTTGTTGCTGATGTTGTTGTTATATGATGGCATGCAGTAAGTAAACAGCAAGAAATGAAAACACTTTTTAAATGCACTTTATGCATACAATCAAACATTCCAACACATAAGGCAACAAACATACTTAAACACTTAAATATACAAAAAAAAAAAAAAAAAAAAAACAGAAAACACATGCAAATATAAAGGAAGCAATACACTCACTGGACAGGCAATACAGAAACATACATACACATTTGTATAAGGAGCATAGGAGAGTTAAACGTTTATTTACTAACAACCATCATCTGTATCAGTATCATCAATAACAGAAGCAGCAACAACATCAGCCAAAACAACGACAGCAGCACCAACAACAAAGAAGTAGTTGAAGTAAGTGTAACAGTAATATTGTAGGCACAATACAACACAACTTGCTACAAACTGCAACAACTTCTCTGCAACATCTTCATTATCATCAAAACCTAGTTAAAATGTACAGATGTATCTATGTACATATGTATGTGTATTAGTATAAACTAAAGCTGTCTCAGTATTAGCATTAACTTTATCGATCGATACCAGATAGATAGATGTTTGGTTGGTTGCTTGCCTAGCTGGTTGTTTGCCTGGCTGGATGGATAGATAGATGAATGGATAGACGGATGGATGGATGCACTGATGATTATATCTACTTGCTTACTACATACATATGTATGTTCGTTTAATCGTGTACTGGTTTTATAGAGCAAAGATACATTGGATTTGGTCAGGATATCCTTCATAGTTTGTATATTTTATCCTTCACCTTACATATGTTATTCTATATGCATTGTATGTATGTAGGTACGTCCAAACATAATGTTTTTTTAATACACGCATCAATCGAATCAACATCATACATACAGTGGTTCATATAAAAAAATACTCAGGATAAAGCTTTATAACTGCTATAAATATTACTTGTATCTGGAAACGATTTTATAGTATTTTGGTGTCGAATTGGCTTCAAATACCTTGATCTTGGCGCTACTGGTAATTAAATTTATAGTCTTCATCTTCATGAGAAGGGTATATGTATATAAGTTTGTCATTCTGTTTGTAATTTCTATAATATAATTTTTCGACTATATAAAGTTTATGTATATATTCTGCATCCTATTCCTGGATAAAAAGCGGCACAACTAAGTTTTATGCAAGCTGTGATGATCTTCAAAGTCCCCTTCAGCAAAAGCTTTTCGTGGATAGTATTTTAAAATGTGTAAAGATTTACAGATAACGGAACCTTACATAATTATGTAACTATGCAGTGGTCTCTATATTAGGTAAATGCAAATAGACTATCTATATTTTCCCATCAGTTTGATAAGTAAACAAGAGCGAATGCAATTGTCATATTACTGTATCCCAGGTAAACGAGGGAGGGGTCATTTTATATGTATTTCTTTTAATAAGTAATCTTCTAACAAGAACTAGTTTTGTAGAATGTGAATTGAAAAAAATCATAGTTACTATATTTTGTAATTAATTATTTTACACTCTTTAAGCCCACTATCGACATGGGAAGTGTCAATGACTGAATGTTTATGCTATGCGAGCTTATTCTGTATTTGTGCATGTGTACATAATAATTTTATCTCAATGCATAATCGTATCTAGGAAAATTGAATGTCTATGCTTGGTATTTATCGACTTAACTGTCTGTTTATAAATGTATAATATTGTCTGACTCCATAATTGTATACATATAAAATTTCCTCTCGCTAAAGCCAACATTCTCTCATTTCAGCTCCCACAATATACTATGCTAAACCTCAAAATATTTATAATGAAATGATAGCCAGATGTATAGATAGACATACATACATATCCACGAATACATCTGCGTATACTATTTTGAACTACTACCAACAACATTATAAATGTGTGGGTATGTATCTATGAGGTTAATATTACCAATGCCAAAATATAGACCAAAAACGTTGCCACAACTATTTTTAGTCTACGTTTTCGGGGTTTTCTCTTTTTTTCGTTTGTGTTATATGTATGTATGTAGTACCAAAAATTGTTTGTAATGTAAGTATGTAAGACTATGCTGTATGAGTGCTTATTCATGGTATGTGTATGTTAATTTCGTTTATATGGCTGTTTTACGTAATCGTGTTTAAACTTATACAAACATACATTTTAACATATACGAAAAAGTGCCACATATTTACTACTTACAAACGTATATTTATATGTAGACAGACAGGAACAGGCTGCCTACACATACATATTTATGTATATACCGGTATATGTGTTAAAAAGCAGTAGTGCAAAATAATGTGGGAATAACAACAACAAAAACACGTAGCAACCAACAATAGCAAAAACAACATTAGCAATTGCATCTAAAACTAAACTCAACTATTTTATTCTATTCTAGTTTAGTTTGCAATTTTAATTGCATCATTGTATGCTTATATGCATGTCTAAGTGTTTGCGTGTGTATGAGCGTCTATGTGTGCATATATAATGCATAATAATGTACTCTAGATACATGATTATGTATGTTTTCATATATGCCTGCAATTGTATGTCTGTCTAGTAGTGTTGTCTACAAGATGCATTTAGAGATTAAAACATTAGCACAATAATGTTCAGTGAATGTATGTTTTTCTCTTCTAACGTTTCTCTCACTTTAAATACAAAACGACAACAGTCTTTTTGTGAAATAATTAACTTAATTACAAATAGATTAAATGATTGTTGAATCTAATTTCAATATTCAGTATTTTTACTAGATTTATATAAAAACTTTTGGCAACATTTTGCTGAAATTTAGTTCACTTTGGCTGCGATAGTTACAGATTTTTTTTGTTGGTAACTGTGACAAGAATCTTAAGAGCTTAAAGTGTTGGCAATTGTATGCCTGTTTACAAAAGAGTATTGTGGTAATTTATTATTAGATACATTTAAGAAAACATTTATATAGTTTTTAAAGTGTTTGGCTTTTAATGAACTTTTTGTTTAAATTTGGAATTTTATTTAAGTATTATTGGAACTAGTTTCAATTAAGATGAGATTGTGTAAAAAGTGAACATATAATATTGTTAATTCAAGAAGTGAAATAATATGTATAGAATAGCCCATAATTAGAGCCATAAAACAGTGTACAGTCGGGACTATGGAGCATTTTATAGTTGAGGTCATAGAATAGTCTATAGTCTTGAGATCTATAGTCTATAGTATATGTATGTATGTATATAGTTGAGATAGTCTATAGTGGAATATTTTTTAATCTAGATTATAGATTAGTCTATAGTCGATCTGTAATAGAAACCACAAAACAATCTATTGTCGTTACAGTAGAACAAAAAATAACCCGTCGTATAAAATCGGCGAATAGACCTATAAATCGACATTAATTCCATTACACAATGTAACACGAAAAAAATATAACCGTATACGGAAGACCAGGAAAAAGATCCGTGTCTCCCAGCTTTGCCTAAATGCATGCACTTTTTTATGCGACCACAAAGACTTGAGTCCTCATTGTCATTTTTGCCAAAAAGTAATAATTTTCTCAGTCTAAAATCTTACAAACCGTTCGGAATTGTAATTTACTCTCTAAGGCAAAGTTGTAGCTCTTATCATAAAGAATATTAATTGTGAAATACACTTCATCTTCAAGATCAAAATCGAAAAACTTAAAAAAATTCGAATTTTTGCCTGCTAAATTAGGCGTATACTTAATATTTGTAATGTCAATAAATTTTTAACACTTATACGTACAAGTGTCGTTAATAAATGCGTGCAATATCACATGGTGGTGTCGTGTAAGGTTGTATTTCTATGTGTGTTTTTTATAGAACATATAAAGAATCCGATTTCCTAGACACATATATTTTGTTCTGACAACATATGAATATTTGTAATGCAAATAATGAGTTATGAACTTATGAAATTTTATTCTAACATAGACGAATACCACTTTAACATACATATATTAATTAGTTTTTAATATTTTAGTGCCCCCAGAAATACAGTAAAATGCAAAAAAAACAAAAATATCGTGAAAAATTTAAAACTAAAAACCCAAACTACTCATTTTAAACGTCACACTTGGTTGCCATCATTATTTGCATTTAGTTTTTCGAAATAATCATTAATGAGTTTAGCATCCGCTTTTTGTTTTCAACAAATTAAAATTGTTTTATTTCTGTTTTCTGTTCACACCATCTCTTTACGTTTTTTGCCATTTTATTTGAGTTTGGTTATATTTTGGGTTTTTTGCGTTGTTGGTTGTTACTACTGCCTTTTGTTTTCTTTTTAACCATATTCACATATTAATCTTCCACATATGTCCGTTTGGATTGTGGTTGCATTTCGGTTACATTTCTCATATGAAATGTTATACAAATTGCTAGAAAAAAAAAAAAAATACATACACACACACAGACTGAGTCGAACAAAATAATAAAATGTGTAAAAATTTGCGGAATAAAGCAGGGCATGGAAAACTTTATAGCATTTTGTGATCTACTAAATGTTTCTAGAAGATTAACTGTAAATGTCAATTACACTATTTAAATATTGTAAGAAAAAGCTTTAACTCTTTTACTTATACATACACGCTACAAATACTTTATTTTAGTTCAATAACAGTTTCAAGTTCAATTCCTAAACCTGACACACATGTTAGTCGTAATTTCTACTAAATGTTCAAACAAAGTTTTGCATAAAAACCCCTTCACTATCATATTTAACATTTATTTTTGTTTAGTTATAAAGGGAATTGCAGGAAAACTCATGAAAACGTTTTACATACAAATTCTAAACTCCAATTAGAAAATAATGTGACGCGACCCAGTAAAACGCAAATACCACAACTCGCTACTACTACAGCTATTGCATAGAGAGTTGTGGTATGAGTGTATGTGTATGTGTATAAAAATGAATATAAAAAACCAACTATGACGACAATTACTATTAAATGCAAACCAAATATTCAAACAAACATATGTACAGCAGCTATTCATTTAAATAAGCATTAAATAACAATACAACTAAATATTCCCTGCCAGCAACTCAACTAACTTTAAATGCATTAAAAGCCGACTTTTTCATCAACTAGTTATGGTTGATTCTTGGATTATTTTTAATGGAGCCAACTGACTATTTTAACATGGTGATGTCATACGCAGTAGTCAATTGTCCGACTCTGCATGACTTTTCAACTAGCTTAAAGTTAGTTACTAAAAAATTAGCTTAAAGGTAACTCTTTATTAACTAACTTAAAGTTAGTTGCAGAAAAGTCAAGCAATAGTTTTCTTTTGAATTCCCTACTGTATTAATTAATTATATTTTAATTAAATATATTTAAAATTTAACTACTAGTTATCTAAATTACATTTCGGTTTAATACAAGTTATGATATTAGTTCGTTAAAATTAATAGACATCAGTTTTCTGCAGGGGAACTAATAATAACACCGGTACCCATAAAATTATGAATGATTTGTTCATTATTTCCATGATTCCCATTGATCCAAATCTAAAATAAATTTGAAAATGTTTTGTGTAATGTTAACTGTTAATGTATTATATTTACAGTATTAATCAGCAGAATTTAGAATTTAGGGACCGAGTTTTAAAATATTTAACCTTTTATGATTAATTTTTCCAATTTACTGACTCAAATTTCACAACGTATAGAAGAAAATTACAAAAATGTAAAACAAATTCCAAATAATAAAGAACCATGAGAAAACATGTCGAAACAAAATGCTCTCCAGATAATTTTGGGGTACTCCCGCATTATATGATAGTTAGCTTGTAGCTAGTCTTTAAAAGTCGGTTGTTTACGTTAATAAATACCAAATTTTGGAACATTTCTGCATTACATTGTTGTTCGTTTATAGTCAGTCTACTAAAGTTAACAAATAAAATCATAATAATAGAGAAACAAGAGAAAACATGTTGAAATACAATTAATTCTCTCCAGATAATTTTGAGGCACTTCTGCATTACATTATAGTTAGCTTGTAGTTAGTATTTAAAAGTCGGTTCTTTACGTTGCC